GTGTGTACACTGTGTGTACTGGCCACACCCTGCCTGTGTGTACACTGTGTGTACTGGCCACACCCTGCCTGTGTGTACACTGTGTGTACTGGCCACACCCTGTCTGTGTGTACACTGTGTGTAACCCTGCCTGTGTGTACACTGTGTGTACTGGCCACACCCTGCCTGTGTGTACACTGTGTGTACTGGCCACACCCTGTCTGTGTGTACACTGTGTGTACTGGCCACACCCTGTCTGTGTGTACACTGTGTGTACTGGCCACACCCTGTCTGTGTGTACACTGTGTGTACTGGCCACACCCTGCCTGTGTGTACACTGTGTGTACTGCCCACACCCTGCCTGTGTGTACACTGTGTGTACTGGCCACACCCTGCCTGTGTGTACACTGTGTGTACTGTGTGTACCACACCCTGTCCTGTGTGTACACTGTGTGTACTGGCCACACCCTGCCTGTGTGTACACTGTGTGTACTGGCCACACCCTGTCTGTGTGTACACTGTGTGTACTGGCCACACCCTGGCCTGTGTGTACACTGTGTGTACTGGCCACACCCTGCCTGTGTGTACACTGTGTGTACTGGCCACACCCTGCTGTGTGTACACTGTGTGTACTGGCCACACCCTGCCTGTGTGTACACTGTGTGTACTGGCCACACCCTGCCTGTGTGTACACTGTGTGTACTGGCCACACCCTGCCTGTGTGTACACTGTGTGTACTGGCCACACCCTGCCTGTGTGTACACTGTGTGTACTGGCCACACCCTGCCTGTGTGTACACTGTGTGTACTGGCCACACCCTGCCTGTGTGTACACTGTGTGTACTGCCCACACCCTGCCTGTGTGTACACTGTGTGTACTGGCCACACCCTGCCTGTGTGTACACTGTGTGTACTGGCCACACCCTGCCTGTGTGTACACTGTGTGTACTGGCCACACCCTGCCTGTGTGTACACTGTGTACTGGCCACACCCTGCCTGTGTGTACACTGTGTGTACTGGCCACACCCTGCCTGTGTGTACACTGTGTGTACTGGCCACACCCTACCTGTGTGTACACTGTGTGTACTGGCCACACCCTGCCTGTGTGTACACTGTGTGTACTGGCCACACCCTGCCTGTGTGTACACTGTGTGTACTGGCCACACCCTGCCTGTGTGTACACTGTGTGTACTGGCCACACCCTGCCTGTGTGTACACTGTGTGTACTGGCCACACCCTGCCTGTGTGTACACTGTGTGTACTGGCCACACCCTGCCTGTGTGTACACTGTGTGTACTGGCCACACCCTGCCTGTGTGTACACTGTGTGTACTGGCCACACCCTACCTGTGTGTACACTGTGTGTACTGGCCACACCCTACCTGTGTGTACACTGTGTGTACTGGCCACACCCTGCCTGTGTGTACACTGTGTGTACTGGCCACACCCTACCTGTGTGTACACTGTGTGTACTGGCCACACCCTGCCTGTGTGTACACTGTGTGTACTGGCCACAACCTACCTGTGTGTACACTGTGGGTACTGCCCACAAACTGCCCTGCCTGTGTGTACACTGTGTGACTACTGCCCACACCCTGCCTGTGTGTACACTGTGTGTACTGGCCACACCCTACCTGTGTGTACACTGTGTGTACTGGCCACACCCTGCCTGTGTGTACACTGTGTTGTTCGTCTTGGAATTATCTACAATACAATACAATACAATTTTATTTAGGTAAGGTACATACATACAATAAATATTTACAAGGATTGTTTAACTTATAGGTAGAGCTAGTACATACAATGCCTAAAGCCACTATTACGCAAAGCGTTTCGGGCATGCAAAATCTACACTTTTAAGTCTCCTATTCCTGTAGTTGTGTTAAGTCTACCTACCGTGTAAGTACCTCCAGGTGTCCTTCCTCTCTCCATACCTGACCTCTTGACCTCCTTATACCTGACCTCTGACCTACCTATACCTGACCTCTGACCTACCTATACCTGACCTCTGACCTTCCTATACCTGACCTCTGACCCTCCCTATACCTGACCTTCTGACCTCCCTATACCTGACCTCTACACCCTGGTGCCACACCTCCACGGCCCAAACAACCAGTCATAACCCCCCCCCCCCCACACCAAGGCACTGGGGCATTCTGATTGGTCGAGCGGCTCTCACGGCAGCAGACCTCAGTGTGGTGATGCAGAGCCCAGCAGAGTGGCCGCCTCGCTTGGCTCTATGGTAGAGCAGAGTACTTACCACTCAGTGACTGCGGGGAAGTGAGCTCTAGCTCTATACTCCCCACCTCAAAGTCTTGTGGTACTTGTTGCCTTAGGATTTAACTCTTCACTCGTTCGAATCCCCGCCTCACTGACCTGCCTCATCATTGGATATAGCCTGACCTGCCTCATTATTGCGGTTCTGTTATTAACATGTGTAAACACACACATGTTATCCCTCAGAACACACACATGTTATCCTTCAGAGCACACACATGTTATTGCAACAGGTCAGCAAACAACACCTGCACTCTAACGATTGAAACATCTTGAACACAGATGTTTGCAAGATCTTTCAATCGTCGTTAAATAACACAAAATCAACTAATCATTGATTAGTTGATTTTGTAATCATTGATTAGATTAGTTATTCAACTAATCTCGTGGTCACACTGCGAGAGTTAACTGCTCGTCAGTGGTGAGGTAATCGTTAGCAAATCTTTGGGGCTGTGTGGGGGAATCTTTGGGGATGTGTGGGGGGGAATCTTTAGGGATGTGTGGGGGAATCTTTGGGGATGTGTGGGGGGAATCTTTGGGGCTGTGTGGGGTGGAATCTTTGGGGATGTGTGGGGGAATCTTTGGGGCTGTGTGGGGGAATCTTTGGGGCTGTGTGGGGGAATCTTTGGGGATGTGTGGGGAATCTTTGGGGCTGTGTGGGGGAATCTTTGGGGCTGTGTGGGGGAATCTTTGGGGCTGTGTGGGGGAATCTTTGAGGATGTGTGGGGAAATCTTTGGGGATGTGTGAAGGAATCATTAGGGATGTGGGGGGGAGTTCTGAACCACCCCCCCCCCTCCTCCCCCCAGACTCAAACGTTTCCATGTTGTTATCATAGACACATCACATAATTGTGATTGCAATCTGCAATTCTACTTTGCAACAATCAAGGCAACAGTAAACTTAGAGCTTGTGGGACTGTCAGCCCCGATGATCTCCATATATTGGCAAGACAGCAACATATCTCTCAAGGTGGTTGACTCTGCACACACAACAAGGCTCTATCAAACGTCAAAAAGTGTGTCAAACTCTTTCAAACGTCAAGATATCAATCTCTATCAAAACTATCGCCGGAGATATCCTTGACAAACAACGCCGAAATCGTCGACAGATACAACGACAAACGGAGACTAGACATAGACGAAGCACTACATATCAAACACACTCAATCAACAACCATTATCAACAACTATCAACTACCAGCCTATACTCGGGTACGTCTTAACAACTAGAAGACAAAAAACAACAGAATTGCCAGTTTATACCGCACCTACAGCCGCAGCTGACCAATGAGAGGGCAGAACAAGATAGCCTCATTAGACAGGTTAAACTTGGTTGGGCCAGGCAAGGCTTGGTTCGCTAAGTTTAGGTTAGGCTAGGCTAAGGTCAGGTTTGGGGTGGGTAGAGTCAGGTCAGGATGGGTAAGTTAAGGTTAGATAAGATAAGATTGGGTTAGGGAGAGTACATTTAGGTTGAGTAGGGTTAGGTAAGATTATGTAATGGTGGGTAACGTTAAGTTATGCAAGATTAGGGTAAGTAAGGTTAGGGTGGGTAAGGTAAGGGTGGGTAACATTAGCGCAAGTAAAGTTAGGTGAAGTAAGGTTAGGGTAAGTAAGGTTAGGGTAAGTAAGGTTAGGGTAAGTAAGGTTAGGGTAAATAAGGTTAGGTAGGTTTCAATACCCGTTACTGGGCTGAGATGATTCATCCCGTGATCAGGTCCCCTTGGAAAGTGAAGAAATATTTGGCATCCGAGAATGAAGAGCGCTGCCGGCTGGGACAGAGGCTATCTCTTACCTTGTAGATCCGGCCTTGGTGGATGACATTCCTTTGAGCCGGTGTGGCCGGCCTAGCCTGCCCTAGCCAGCCCTCCGCAGCCACCCCATCCTCCCTCCTCTAGCCTGCCTGTCCTCTAGCCTGCCCGGCGCCTCATTCCCTCCTCCAGAAATTCATGATCTTTTATTCATTCTGTTGACCTTCAATTTCCACTCTGGCTTGGCCTGCCTCCTTCATGGCTTGGCCTGCCTCCTTCATGGCTTGGCCTGCCTCCTTCATGGCTTGGCCTGCCTCCTTCATGGCTTGGCCTGCCTCCTTCACGGCTTGACCTGCCTTCTTCATGGCTTGGCCTGCCTCCTTCATGGCTTGGCCTGCCTCCTTCATGGCTTGGCCTGCCTCCTTCATGGCTTGGCCTGCCTCCTTCATGGCTTGGCCTGCCTCCTTCACGGCTTGACCTGCCTTCTTCATGGCTTGGCCTGCCTCCTTCATGGCTTGACCTGCCTCCTTCATGGCTTGGCCTGCCTCCTTCATGGCTTGGCCTGCCTCCTTCATGGTTTGGCCTGCCTCCTTCATGGCTTGACCTGCCTCCTTCATGTCTTGGCCTGCCTCCTTCATGGCTTGACCTGCCTCCTTCATGGCTTGACCTGCCTCCTTCATGGCTTGGCCTGCCTCCTTCACGGCTTGACCTGCCTCCTTCATGTCTTGGCCTGCCTCCTTCATGGCTTGACCTGCCTTCTTCATGGCTTGGCCTGCCTCCTTCACGGCTTCACCTGCCTTCTTCATGGCTTCACCTGCCTCCTTCATGGCTTAGCCTGCCTCCTTCATGGCTTGACCTGCCTCCTTCAAGGCTTGACCTGCCTCCTTCAAGGCTTGACCTGCCTCCTTCATGGCTTGGCCTGCCTCCTTCATGGTTTGGCCTGCCTCCTTCCTGGCTTGACCTGCCTCCTTCATGGCTTGACCTGCCTCCTTCATGGCTTAGCCTGCCTCCTTCATGGCTTGACCTGCCTCCTTCAAGGCTTGACCTGCCTCCTTCAAGGCTTGACCTGCCTCCTTCAAGGCTTGACCTGCCTCCTTCAAGGCTTGACCTGCCTCCTTCATGGCTTGGCCTGCCTCCTTCATGGCTTGACCTGCCTCCTTCATGGCTTGACCTGCCTCCTTCATGGCTTGACCTGCTTCCTTCATGGCTTGGCCTGCCTCCTTCATGGCTTGACCTGCCTCCTTCATGGCTTGACCTGCCTCCTTCATGGCTTGACCTGCCTCCTTCATGGCTTGACCTGCTTCCTTCATGGCTTGACCTGCTTCCTTCATGGCTTGACCTGCCTCCCTCATGGCTTGGCCTGCCTCCATCATGGCTTGACCTGCCTCCTTCATGACTTGACCTGCCTCCATCATGGCTTGACCTGCCTCCTTCATGACTTGACCTGCCTCCTTCATGACTTGACCTGCCTCCTTCATGACTTGACCTGCCTCCTTCATGACTTGACCTGCCTCCTTCATGACTTGACCTGCCTCCTTCATGGCTTGGCCTGCCTCCTTCATGGCTTGACCTGCTTCCTTCATGGCTTGACCTGCCTCCCTCATGGCTTGGCCTGCCTCCATCATGGCTTGACCTGCCTCCTTCATGACTTGACCTGCCTCCATCATGGCTTGACCTGCCTCCTTCATGACTTGACCTGCCTCCTTCATGACTTGACCTGCCTCCTTCATGACTTGACCGGCCTCCTTCATGACTTGACCTGCCTCCTTCATGACTTGACCTGCCTCCTTCATGACTTGACCTGCCTCCTTCATGGCTTGGCCTGCCTCCATCATGGCTTGACCTGCCTCCTTCATAACTTGACCTGCCTCCTTCATGACTTGACCTGCCTCCTTCATGGCTTGGCCTGCCTCCATCATGGCTTGACCTGCCTCCTTCATGACTTGACCTGCCTCCTTCATGACTTGACCTGCCTCCTTCATGGCTTGGCCTGCCTCCATCATGGCTTGACCTGCCTCCTTCATGACTTGACCTGCCTCCTTCATGACTTGACCTGCCTCCTTCATGGCTTGACCTGCCTCCTTCATGACTTGACCTGCCTCCTTCATGACTTGGCCTGCCTCCTTCACGGCTTGTTTGGTGAGGCAGGCCACTAGCGCCACGCCCCATTACCAAAATAAAACATTCTTATGGGTGTATGGTCAACCCGTCCTCTTAAAATATCGACGGTTTCCGCCCGTATGCGCGCTATGACCTGCCCGAAACGCTGCGCGTACTAGTGGCTTTACAAGAACGTAAACACCAAGCTATGTACCCTCACAAACTCAATGTACTTTCTTGTATATATATAAATAAATAAATGGACATGATTTGAAATGAAATCGGCTGAGGAAAGTGATGTACTATCCCGTTTTCTGTTGGAGTCCTCCGGCTTTAATCGGTTAAGTTAGGAGAGGAAACTTTCAATCAACGGTTTTTATGACGTTTTGAACTCTTAGGAGAACTTCCTCCCCTCCTAACCTACCAGAGGACCCTTAACTTGCTGTTCTAGGGAAAAAAATCGAGGCTGGAGTGGCCTCTCCAGGGCGCAAAGCCTTGGGTAGGTTGATGTGGAGGAGAAGCTGTTACCCATGCAGCAGAACATAATAATTAGAAGAACATAGCATAAAAATAACAAACTGCACAAGGCCTGTTGAAACAGACGAAGCAGTTCCTATACAGTAATTATAGTCGACGTTAGGAAGAGCCGTTACATCCAAATATCTGCACAAAGCTCGAAATCTCCGCACACGAATATGCTATGACTTTACTAGGAGAATTTAGGGGTTATCTTGAGATGATTTCGGGGCTTTTTAGTGTCCCCGCGGCCCGGTCCTCGACCAGGCCTCCACCCCCAGGAAGCAGCCCGTGACAGCTGACTAACACCCAGGTACCTATTTCACTGCTAGGTAACAGGGGCATAGGGTGAAAGAAACTCTGCCCATTGTTTCTCGCCGGCGCCCGGGATCGAACCCGGGACCACAGAATCACAAGTCCTGGGTGCTGTCCGCTCGGCCGACCGGCTCCCTAAGTTAGGCCACAGATCTTTCTGACCCCCCCCCCCTTTTGTCGTCATCCTCATCCTGTTTCCAGCCCCTATCCTATCCTATCCTATCCTTCGTCCTCCCCCCCCCCCTCCCCCGTATCTTGTCAAACCCTTTGGAGAGAGAGAGAGAGATCATTCACACACTCAGTATACACAACCAGCCACAGTATACCTGCTTGATACCTGTTTGAGTGGGGTTCTGGGAGTAGTTCTACTCCCCAAGCCCGGCCCGAGGCCAGGTTCGACTTGTGAGAGTTTGGTCCACCAGGCTGTTGCTTGGAGCGGCCCGCAGCAGGCCCACATACCCACCACAACCCGCCTGATCCGGAACTTCTCTTAGAAAACCGTCCAGTTTTCTCTTGAAGATGTCCACGGTTGTTTCCGGCAATATTTCTTATAGTCGCTGGGAGGACGTTGAACAACCGCGGACCTCTGATGTTTTATACAGTGTTCTCTGATGGTGCCTATGGCACCTCTGCTCTTCACTGGTTCAATCTTGCATTTTCTTCCATATCGTTCACTCCAGTACGTTGTTATTTTACTGTGTAGATTTGGGACCTGACCCTCCAGTATTTTCCATGTGTATATTATTTGATATCTCTCTCGTCTCCTTTCTAGTGAGTACATTTGGAGAGCTTTGAGATGATCCCAATAATTTAGGTGCTTTTATCTCGTCTATGCGAGCCGTATATGTTCTCTGTATTCCCTCTATTTCAGCAATCTCTCCTGCTCTGAGGGGGAGGAAGTGAGTACTGAGCAGTACTCAAGACGGGAAAACACAAGTGACTTGAAGAGTACAACCATTGTGATGGGATCCCTGGATTTAAAAGTTCTCGTAATCCTTCCTTTCATGTTTCTGGTTGACGCAATATTGGCTTGGTTATGCTCCCTAAACGTTAGGTCGTCGGACATCATTATTCCCAAATCCTTGACATGCTGTTTTCCTACTATGGGCAGACTCGATTGTGTTTTGTACCCTGTATTATGTTTCAGATCCTCATTTTTCCCGAAAATGAGTACCTAAATTTATCACTGTTAAACATCAAGTTATTTTCTGCTGTCCAATCGAAAATTTGTTGATATCTT